GTGAGACATTGGCCCCAGGGTCACCCAGTGAAAGTTCCTGACCATGAGGAACTGTCAGACCAACAGGGGCCCTTTCTTAGTGCCGGAATGCAACCTTGATGTTTTCATTTTGGAGGATGGCAACTCGTCAAGAGCATGACAAACCTATCGTGAAGAGTCTCCTTCTTGAGGGCAATTAAGAGAAGTATTATCTTACATTCCTGGAATGATAATATTAAAGCAAATAAAATTCCCCACTGAGGGCAGCCTCTCCCCAGCTCCTTGCTTTGCATGAAGCAGGTAACCTCCGTCCCTGCCCATCCCTGTCATGTCTGAAGCCATATTTCCCCAGCAGTATCACATGTGCATTTCCTGTTCTTGATAATTTCACCTCCTAGGGCATGAATCATAAAAAAACAAAAATGATATCTGAGTGGCTCAGGCACTGTGGCCTCACTAACCTGCTGCCCTGGAGGGGTTAGCTTGGGAAGGAGTGATGGGGAAGGAAACAGACAAGGGACAAGGTGTATTGCAGGGTATCAAGGTGACAGTGGTTGGTTAAGTTGTTTGGACCTGTGAGAGAAGTGGATTATAGAAATGGATACCAGAAGAGGGAGAGAAAATAAGGACTGAAACATAGAGGCAGTCTTGCCTCTTTTCATATAAAAGGCAGCGGATTTCCAGGCAAATATGTGCTTTTACCACATTTACTGCCACCAGTTAGCACAAGCAAAGAACGTTACTGTGGAGCTGGACTTTCGGTAAAACATTAACAGTCTTTTGTTTGCAGGGTCTGTTTCCTTCTGGGCTTCCGGGGGGAAAAGGAGGCCAGGAATAGGTGTGCTGCTCCCCGCCCCCTGAATGGTTCCCCCGAGCTCCTCTGCATTGTTCATTCATCCGTGAGCCCACTGTGTGCCCAGCACTGAGCTGGCATCACACAGGATTCAGAGATGAAAAAAGCCACAGGGATCAGGCGGCAGACAAGTGAAGGTCTTAAAGGATAGCAGACTAAGAAGGGAAAATAAAAAGGGGGTAGCAATCTAGAGAAAAACTTAGAATGAGACTGACTTGAGTCTCCTATTTCTGTAGGGTTTACCCTCTGCAGGACCCCTTCTGCTCCTGGGTCATCTCAGGGGCTTGGATCCGAGAGGAAGGTTAGAGACTGACTATGTTGAGTCAGAAGAAGAGCATTTGGAGACAGAAATACTTGCCCTTGTGGGAAGGGTTTCTTGGGGGCAGGATTTCCAGGGGGTCTCAATTCCCACTCTGCAGTTAGCTGCCTGCATAGCTTAAACATAAGGCAACTCTCTACAGTAATTCGCTCTCACCCAAAAATGTCCTGTGAGATTCAAGTTCCCAAAGGGAGGGCTGAGGCTGATGCCTCTCACTCAGCTGTGATGGACACCTGCCCCCATCCTACTGGTTCGTGCAAATGCTAAGGTTCCTCTCTTGGGACATATTCCCCAAGATGCCAAAATTCACTGGAGTAGGTCTCTGGACCTTCTGTAATCAGAAATTTGGTTTCATGTGTTGGTCACAATAAAGTGTGGGAGGGAGGGGGCCCAGGTAAAATGATAGATTTCTAGGAGGCTCTCTGACAAAGTTCAGGCCCCCAGACCCTGGTGAGGGAGCCTTGTAGTCCTTGCTGACAAAGCCACTTCACGCCTAAGGGGAGCAAGACAGATGGGAAGAGACAGACAGAGGTTGCACTGCAGACTGTCTGTAGGCCATCTCTTAGCTCCATTTATTTTACTTTCTTCTGCTATTTCTTCTTCTTTCCTCCAGGGGAGAGCAGTCCTAGGGCAGCCTCAGCTTAAGTTTTTTCCAGGAGGAAGGCAGAGTCCTCCTCTGCTCCAACATCAGACCCGTTTGAAGACACCCGAGGTCCCCAGATGCACTTGCTAAGGTCCCAGGAGAATGAGGGATAATTAGGAGGAATCTGGCATGACTAGGAATGGGTGCCAACGTTCTTGCCCACATCAGCGCTGTCTGCTGTTGACTGAATGTGCCAAGCGCATTGATTTCAATCCAGCTCTCAAGAAGCCCTCCTTAGCTTATCCACAAATCACCTCCCATTCCTACTGCTCATCAGCATCTGCAAATAGAGAACAAACTCTTGTTTGTCCAGGTAGTTGCTAGTCTACCTGTGCCCCACCCCAAAGCAGCTAAATGAGTAGTCACTCATTTAAAAATGATCTGAGTTTATCAAATCCTATTTACCTCTTCTATATCCCAATTTGCTATAGAATTACTGACTCCAAATGATAAGGTTTTAAGCTATAGTAACTTATCCCTTGAGTAGCAGCACCAGACTTGGCTATATTTCAGTGTTAATCACAACAGCAGCAGTAATGTTAATCATTACTAACATAGCTGAGTACTTTATATGTGCTGGGCATTGTGCTCAGCACCTTACATGCGTTACCTCATTTAAGTCTCACAAGATCCCCAAAGGTAAATATTATTCTCTTCATTTGCATTTAAGGAAACTAATGTTCAGAAAGTTTAAGTCAACTAACTGAGGTCAAATGGGGGTACTGCAGAGGTCCCCTCTTAGGCCCCCACTAAGTTCCCTCAGTCCAGTGTTTCTCAGCGTGTGGCTCTTAAACCACTGAAATCAGAAAGATTCGGGGACTTAGTTAAACTTCAGATTCCTGGACCCCTCTTAGACCCAGGTAATCAGAATCCCTTGGAGGGTGGCCTTGGACAATGTATTTGTAAACGTATTCCCCAAGAGACTCCTACACACACCAAATTTTGAGACTCACCATCATCTCTGACTTTTGAGATATTTGAAACACACTCTATGATCTCAATGGCCAAAGACGTGGACATTGGGAAGGGTGTGGTTAACCCTAGGAGCAGAATTGGCCCTCCCCACCCCATGGAGCAGTGGAGAAGTTGGAGGCAGAAGACCTGTGTTTTAGTCCTTGCTTGAGCTTATGCTATTTGTTTAATCTCTCTTGGCCTCCATTTCCTCAGTTGTAAACCAAGAATGATACTTTTCTTTTCAAGGTGGTTGTGAGGATCGAAGGAGATAACGTATGTGAAAGTAGAATAACATTTAAATAGAAGAAAGTGCTCTACAAATGTATGTGATATCAATCACAGATTTGCCCAGAGTCTGGGGAGGTGACCAGGGTACTATGCATAGTGCTGGGCACTTTGTGTGGCTATGGAGAGGGCGGAGGAAGCGGTGGACCCTCCCAAGGACTGCATATCTTGGGATCTATCTAACCTGCTTAGGAGAGGCTATTTCCTCTACAACTCACAGGAATTTACTCCCTGTAAGTCAAGGAGGCACACTTTCTGTTGGTACTGGGCCTCACTTACCAAGCTCTTTCACATGGGACTGAGGTGTGCTTTCTGCCTCAATTTCCCCCTTCTGGTCAGAGAAGACAAAACAACTCCCCCTCCACGGCCACACCCTCTGTTGCCGCCATTTCCAGTAGCCAGAATTATTCAATGTTCTCTGTGTACCAGGATAATTATCACTTATTTAATCCTCACAAGAGTGCTATGATGTTTCCACTTCAATGAGACCCATTTTATGGATGAGGGAACAGACTTAGGGAGTTTAAGTAATCTGCCCAAGCCAGTAAGTAGTAGGACTCCAAGACCCATGTTGTATACCACACTCCCAGGAAAGGATGTTAGGAGAAAGGTGTGTTAAGCTTTGAGCTGTTCTGAGGCCTCTGAAGGAACATCCATATTTGAAAGCAACCTCTGTCTTTCCCTGTCCCTCTACAATGCGGCCTGAGTTATTCAATTAAGGAGGGAAATAATTGGCAGTGGAGAACGCCTCTAGCAGTGGTAATTACTTCCAGGGCCTTGTTGGAATAGTCAAGCTACATTTCAGCTTATGCTGTAAAACCTTAATTATAATATAAACAGCTGCCCTTCAGCCCTGTGGGGCAAGCTTCACCACCCCCTTCCTTCTCTGGCCTCAGCCCAGTGCCTCTCTCATGAGTGGTCAGGGAGGTCTAGGAGCAGAAAGGGGCTTTGGGGAGGAGGGGAACTAAAGTCTGCGTATGCTGTGGGGTTGGGGAGACTAAGCTACAGGGAGTCGCTGTCACGACCCCATCCCCAAGTGAGGAAGCCAAAGGCAGCATCCCCATCTTGGTACCACTCACCCAGAGCCTCTCGGTGGGTAGAAGACCCCAGAAGTTAGCAGCCAGCATAGTGCCATTTGGCTTGGATAGGGTTTAGCAGGATATAGTGTCATTTTAGGGTAATATCTCTTCTCATTTACTCCTCTGTAAGGAAGAAGAGAGTCTTCCCTTCTAGATTCAGACTCCATGGCCATGCATGGGGCCCTATGGAGTGCCCAGCTCTCTCTAGGTTCTGTGCTGGCATGGTCATAAGTGATTCCTCATTTAAACTTCACAGCACTGTATACATGAGGAATTAACATCTCCATTTGGCTGTTGAGGAAAATGAGCTTTTGAATTTAATCAGAGATAAGGCTTGAAATGCAAATAACCCTGTGTGAGACAAGTTCAGGTAGGTTGATGGAAATTAGATATTTTTGTTCAAGTAGGAGGAGTGTATCACCACCAGGCACTGAGAGGGCCCAGGAGCAGGGTGCTGATGAGGGGAAGAGGACAAGAAACAAGAGAGGCTGAAGACACTACTTTGCTGAGCTCACAGATTTGCCCATGACTGCCCCTGGTGCCCCACAAGGAGACGATTGGGTTTAGAACCCGGACTGAAAGGATCAGGAGTGAGCCAGTGTGGTGAGGTAGGGTAATCTGATGGTCTGGGCTCCCTCTTCAGTCTTTGTGGGCGAGATGGAAAGTGTGAGCTTCTCAGTGGTCTTCAGAGTAGAGTGAGCAAGATAATCTCCTGAAGAACGTGGATAATTATTCAAACATCTATATTTTATCAATTCTTCTTTTTTTTTTTTTTTTTTTTTTTTGCAGTATGCAGGCCTCTCACTGTTGTGGCCTCTCCCATTGTGGAGCACAGGCTCCGGACGCGCAGGCTCAGCCGCCATGGCTCACGGGACCAGCTGCTCTGCGGCATGTGGGATCTTCACGGACCGGGGTACGAACCCGTGTCCCCTGCATCGGCAGGCGGACTCTCAACCACTGCGCCACCAGGGAAGCCCCTCAATTCTTCTTTTTAATTTCTGATTTCCATGTGTTTTATAATAGATATATGTATAATATGACATTTATCAAATTTATACACAAATAAGTATATGTATATTTACAGGATGCATGCTTCCAAGTTCAATAATATTTTACAACTTGGGGTGTATGATCAAAAAGTTTAAAGTCTACTGGGCTAGATGTTAACATGCTTACTTGGATTTCTAGCTTTAAAAAAACAATGCTCAAGGGGTAATGGCTCATTTACTTTGCTGATGGCTTGGAGTGGTAATAATTATTACTCATGGAATATCTATGGCTTTGCTCCCTCATACCCTGCAGAAGCAAGGTAAAGTGGTGTCCAGAGCATGAACGCTGGAGCTGGACTACTTGGATTCAAATCCCTGCTCAATTGTCTGTTGGCTGTGTGACTTGGGGTAAGTTACTCAGCCTTTCTGTGCCTCAGGGTCTTTATCTGTTGGATGGGAGCTCACAGACTCTAGTCTACATCATAGGGTAGCTATAAAGATTAGATGAGTTAATGCATGTAAAGAGCTTCTAACAGTGCTTGACCTAGAATAGCTATTCATATATGTTGAGTCAGCAAGGTGGGATAAGGAAAGAGAAGGAAATGAGGATTCATGGAGGTGAGTGGAGGAGCTGGCATTCCAGCTCAGGCCTGGCGGATTCCAAAGCACTTGTATTGGGACCCACAATGGAAAATATTCTAAGTCCTTACCAACAAACAGATGAGAAGATATATCTGCTTCTGCTTCTAAGATTCTGTGATTGTCATCCTCCTCTCTGCACCTGCCCTTGCCATGTCCCCGGCCAGCACAGAGGAAGGACAACAGTGCATTTCCCTCTAGTTGGAAGTAGCCCCGCAAGTTGGGACTCACTGCCATCAACCCCTACGGGTGTGCTACTCCATCTCCCTATGGCCCTCCAGAACTCCCCCAAATTCCTCATGGTGTCTTTGCTCCAAGGACTGATTCTAGAGCCTTCTGGAATGCAAATCAGACAAGCAGGAGTATTTCAGAAAGGAAGATGTTGCAAAGGACTCCGGCAGCAAAGGGTGCGCTTCCACTGGGCACACTGGGAAAGATGTCTGGGCAGAAGGACCTGGGCTGGACCTCACAGCCGTGCCTCTTCCCTCTGGGGTTCCTGACAGCCCTTGAGAATGACACCCACGTGTTCAAATTCTGTACAAAATCTAGGAGCAATGTATCATTGCTCTAGAGACCTTGAACAATTTTGGAAGGTTATATCAACTTAATAGGCATCTCAGGTTGCTCTAACCCTCGCCTTTTCCCTGACAGCAGCTGCTGGGTGAGTCTGAGGTTCATCCCACCTGTAAAGAGTTTCAGATCCAAAGCTTCGAGGTAGAGGGAGTAGGAAACAGTGGTGGGCTGGAGCATTCACTATAGACTCCTAGAAGCAAACTTGCTGGTCGTGAGCCAACTCAGGCACAGCCCTAGACACTGGCCTCCTGCTTCCCTGCTTCCAGAACCATCTATGGCTCTATCTCCCCATTAACACCACAGAACAGATTCCCTGCCTGCCTGCCCCAGAAGGACATAGCCTTTGGGGATTTTCTAAGGGTTTTTAGTATAAACAGCAGTTTATACAGAAGCTAACAGTAAGTAAAATCTCCAGAAATAAAGAGAAACTTGCAATGTTTCAGGACACTTTAAATGAGGCACTTGAAACAAGAGGCTTGCATTAGGATCTAAATTAAAGTCCTTCAGTGGCTTTTTGTATTTTTTCTTAAATGTTAACCTGAGTACAACTTTATCTTCTCCATTCACTTCCAAGAAGTCCTTCTATAATGAAGAGTTGAAGGCTGAAGCCGACGCTTTCTGAACGTGGGACAGGCTTGCCAGCTCCATCTTGTCAGTTTTCTCTTGGTGGATGATGGGACAAGGGAAGTTTCTCTCAAGAGACAATTAAAATAGTGTTTTAAGAAATCCTCAGCCAGTAAAAAGTTGCCTACAGACGTATAAGCCTCCTCTCTGTGTCAGTTTCTTAACCTCCTAATCTCAACTGTCCAATTACGAGTTTACAGGCCTTTGGGGATGGCTGTCTTAAGTACATTGAGAGGAATGGTTATATTCTGTGTGAGCTAAAATACACAAGGCTGGTAGTAGGAAAAGGAGCTACCTATTAGATCTTTCATAAAACCCGTTCCTAAAGTAGAAAGAATAGTTCCCTCAAGACTTGCCCTATGGACTCCCTCTCACAGACTGGTTCATATTTATAAGCCAATTTGTCTAGAAATAAATCTCTTTAACACACTCAACTAACTCCAAGAGGTGTGTCCCATGGGAAACAATCTTCTTAAATGAACTGTCTCAAGAAAGGTTTTAGCAGCAACATTGTCAGCCCTGGAAATTTTACCTTCAGGGAAAAAAAAAAAATATATATATATATATATATATATATATATATATATATATATATATCAGGGATAGACTGCTTGGAGACATAGAATATGCAGAGTTTAAAAACTGCCAAATTGAATTCAGATGCTTAAAAAAAATCTTCGTATATCTGGTTATGGAGTTGGCAGTGGAAGAAACAGATTTCTTGTACAAGCCTGAAGCTCGGTAATGGTTCATTTGACCAGAGCTAATCTGGTAATCTGGACAGGTTGGGTTTATTGTCCATCACAATTTCCTCCCATCCAGCCAGAAAACTGGGATTGCAATCTTGAGATTTTCTTCTCTCCTTCCCTCCCCCGCCTCCCTTTGTACTTCCTTCCTTCCTTCCTTCTTTCCTTCCTACCTCTTTCTTTCTTTCTTTCTTTCTTTCTTTCTTTCTTTCTTTCTTTCTTTCTT